GGCAATGGTACCAAGAGCAGGAAAGGGAATGAAGCTCATTGTAGACCAAGTGTCTATTTGACGAAAGGGAGAAGGGGAGGGGAAGGCCAACCATATGTTTGCAATATGCCTAGTGATGCTTTCTGGCGACTAAATACCAATTAGGCATTTCCTTGGGAAGCAACGGTGATCTCTCTACAACCAGATCTTATTGAAATGGGAAGTTGACAAAAAATATTATTACACTAAAGGCTGCCTCGGTAACGGTGCGTCCATGGGGGAGCATTAATGGTCCGGAATGCGTGCCAGTTTCCCCCTTCCCCCTCCATCCAGTCTGAGAAATCTTCCTCCATTTGTTAATGGGGCACTGGGGGCATCTATTATGCATGGCGCGCATATCCCTTACTGCCATCCACCAACACCGTTGCCTTGGAATTACTCTCCACACCAGAGGAAGAAAGGGAAAAAAGGAACGGAAAGGAATGTACTTCGCATAATCTCTAGATGCAGCAGTGAGGGAAACAGCAAGATCTGATACTAGATTCAGAGATTATGGGCTATTATACAATAGCTGAGTGCATAAGGACCCAGCTGCATGGCTGAAGTGAACTGGCGATATGGCTTATTATTTATTTCTCAACCTTCCTAATGCCATGACTCATTAATATGGTTCCTCCTGTTGTGCTGACCCCTAACTGTAATTTTGCTACTGTTATGAATTGTAATGTTAATATCATCTCCCACATCAAAGGCTTCCCCCAAGCAGTAAACAGCCAGACCTTGAAGCTGCAAGGCCACTCAATGTTAATCAAGCTGGCCAAGTGCAACATTCACACTTGCCTCAAGCAGACACCCTGTGGACATTATTTCACAGATATATATATACATATATACCCCACTTGCCTAGTTTCCAACAGAACTCGCAACCTCTGATGATGCCTTACATAGATGTGGGCGAAACATCAGGACAGAATGCTTCTGGAACATGGCCAGACAACCTGGAAAACTCACAGAAACTCAGTGATTCAAGCCATGAATGCATTCAACAATACGAGTAATGTTAGTCTCAAAGGCTACCTCTCCAAATTCTGCCTTTTCTGGTGCACCCTGACATGTTTCCAAAAGGGTCCCTTTTAGTGTGCCCTGGAGCCAGAGCCTATCTCTCCAAGAGGCCCCTCTCCAGTGCTTCCAAGTTCTGCCCAGAGTTTCACCAGAGATGTTTCCAAAGGGGTCCCTCAGTGTGCACTGGAGGAAGAGGTTATCTCTCCAAGGGACCCTTTTCTGATGTATCCTTGGCACAAAAGCTATGTCTCCAAATTCCCCTTTCTCTGGTGCGCCCTGGGTCCCTGTTAGTGAACCCTGAAGGCAGAGATCATCTTTCCAAGGAACCCTTCCCTGGTGTGTCCTTGGCACAAATGGTATGTCTTTAAACTCCTTCTTCTCTGGTGCACCCAGGACATAACTGAGATGTTTCCAAAAGGGTCCCTCTTAGTGTACCCTGAAGGCACAATCTATCTCTCCAAGGAACCCTTCTCTGATATATCCTTGGCACAAAAGCTATGTCTCCAAATTCCCCTTTCTCTGGTGCGCCCGGGGCATAACTAAGATGTTTCCAAAAGAGTTCTTCTTAGTGAACCCTGGAGGAAAAGGTTATCTCTCCGAGGGACCCTTATCTGATGTGTCCTTGGCACAAAAATCTGTCTTCAAATTCCTTCTTCTCTTGTGCACCCTGGGCATAACTGAGGTGTCTCCAAAAGGGTCCCCTTTTGTGCACCCTGGAAGCAGAGCCTATCTCTCCAAGAGGCCCCTCTCCAGTGCCTCCTTGGCACAAAAGCTATGTCTCCAAATTCCTCTTGTCTGGCTCATCCTGGGCACAACTGAGATGTTTCTAAAAGGGTCCCTTTTAGTGTGCCCTGGAGGCAGTGTTTATCTCTCCAAGGGACCCTTCTCTAATGTATCCTTGGCACAAAAGTATGTCGCCAAATTCCTTCTTCTCTGGTGCGCCCTGGGTGCAACTGACATGTTTCCAAAAGGGTCCCTTTTAGTGTGCCCTGGAGCCAGAGCCTATCTCTCCAAGAGGCCCCTCTCCAGTGCCTCCAAATTCTGCCCAGAGTTTCACCAGAGATGTTTCCAAAGGGGTCCCTCTTAGTGCAGGCAGAAGTTATCTTTACAAGGAACCCTTCTCTGATGTGTCCTTGGTATGAAAGCTATGTCTCCAAATTCCCCTTTCTCTGGTGCACCCAGGGTGCAACTGAGATGTTTCCAAAAGGTCCCTCTTAGTGAACCCTGGAGGTAGAGGTTATCTCTCCAAGGAACCCTTCTCTGGTTCACCCTGGATGCAACTGACATGTTTCCAAAAAGGTCCCCCATAGTGAACCCAGAAGGCAGAGATTATCTGTCCAAGGAACCCTTCTCTGATGTGTCCTCGGCAAAAATTGTATGTCTTAAAATTCCTTCTTCTCTGGTGCGCCCTGGGCGCAACTGAGATGTTTCCAAAAGGGTCCCTCTTAGTGCGCCCTGGAGGCAGAGTCTATCTCTCCAAGGAACCCTTCTCTGATGTGTCTTTGGCACAAAAGTATGCCACCAAATTCCTTCTTCTCTGTTGCGCCCCGGGCATAACTGAGATGTTTCAAAAAGGGTCCCTCTTAGTGCACCCTGGAGGCAGAGTCTATCTCTCCAAGAGACCCTTCTCTGATGTGTCCTTGGCACAAAAGCATGTTGCCAAATTCCTTTTTCTCTTTTGCACCTTGTGCAACAAAAGATGCCTCCAAATTCCCCTTGTTCTGGGCACAACTGAGATGTTTCCAAAAGGGTCCCTCTTAATGCACCCTGGAGGCAGTCCATTTCTCCAAGGGACCCTTCTCTGATGTGTCCTTGGCACAAAAGCATGTTGCCAAATTCCTTTTTCTCTTTTGCACCTTGTGCATAACTGAGATGTTACCAAAAGGGTCCTTCTTAGTACATGCTGAAGGCAGAGGTTATCTCTCCAAGGAACCCTTCTCTGATATATCCTTGGCACAAAAGGTATGTCTCCAAATTCCTTCTTCTCTGGTGCACCATGGGTGTTTCCAAAAGGGTCCCTCCTCATGCACCCTAGAAGCAGAGCCTTTTTCTCCAAGAGGCCCCTCTCCAGTGTGCCCTTGGCGCAAAAGTTATGTCTCCAAATTCTGCCCAGGGTGCACCAGAGATGTTTCCAAAAGGGTCCCTCTTAGTGTGCCCTGGTGGCAGAGCTTATCTCTGCAAGGGACCCTTCTCTAATGTGTTCTTGGCACAAAAGATGCCTCCAAATTCCCCTTGTTCTGGGCACAACTGAGATGTTTCCAAAAGGGTCCCTCTTAATGCACCCTGGAGGCAGTCCATTTCTCCAAGGGACCCTTCTTTGATGTGTCCTTGGCACAAAACTATGTCTCCAAATTCCTTCTTCTCTGGTGCACCCTGTGTATAACTGAGATGTTTCCAAAAGGGTCCCTCATAGTGCACCCTGGAGGATGCATCCATCCCTCCAAGAGGCCCCACTCCAGTGCCTCCTTGGCACAAAAGGTATGTCTCCAAATTCTGCTCAGGGTGCACCAAAGATGTTTCCAAAAGGGTCCCTCTTAGTGAACCCTGGAGGCAGAGCTTATTTCTGCAAGGGACCCTTCTCTGATGTGTCCTTGGCACAAAAGTATGTTTCCAAATCCCCTCTTCTTGGGTGCACCTTGAACACAACTGAAATGTTTCCAAAAGGAAACCTTGGGTGCAACTGACATATTTCTAAAAGGTCCCTTTTTGTGTGGTCCTTGGCACAAAAGGTATGTCTCCAAATTCCTCCCAGGGTGCACCAGAGATATTTCCAAAAGAGTTCCTCATAGTGCACCCTGGAGAAAGAGTTTATCTCTGCAATGGACCCTTCTCTAATGTGTCCTTGACATAAAAGGTATGTCTCCAAATTCCCTCTTCCCTGGTGTGCCCTGGGTGCAACTGAGATGTTTCCAAAAAGGTCCCTTGTTATGTGCTCCTTGGCATAAAAGGTATGTCTCCAAATTCCTCCCAGAGTGCACCAGAGATGTTTCCAAAAGGGTCCCTCCTAGTGCACCCTGAAGGCCAAGCTTATCTCTCCAAAGGACTATTCTCTGATGTGTCCTTGGCACAAAAGCTATGTCTCCAAATTCTCCTTTCTCTGGTGCACCCTGGGTTCAACTGACATGTTTCCAAAAGTTTCCTCTTAGTGAACCCTGGAGGTAGAGTCTGTCTCTCCAAGGAACCATTCTCTGATGTCTCCTTGACACAAAAAGTATCCAAATTTCCTCTTTTCTGGTGTGCCATGGATGCAACTGAGATGTTTCCAAAAAAGTCCCTCTAAGTGCACTCTGAAGGCAGAGGTTTTCTCTCTAAGGAACTCGCCTCTGCTGTGTCCTTGGCACAAAAGTATGTCGCCAAATTCCTTCTTCTCTGGTGCGCCCTGGGTGCAACTGAGATGTTTCCAAAAGGGTCCCTCTTAGTTCACCCTGAAGGCAGAGGTTATCTCTCCAAGGAACCCTTTTCTGATGTGTCCTTGGCACAGAAGCTATGTCTCCAAATTCCCCTTGCTCTGATGCGTCCTGGGCGCAACTGAGATGTTTCCAAAAGGGTCCCTCTTAGTTCACCCTGGAGGCAGAGTCTATCTCTCCAAGGAACCCTTCTCTAATGTGTCCTTGGCACAGAAGCTATGTCTCCAAATTCCCCTTGCTCTGGTGCGCCCTGGGCGCAACTGAGATGTTTCCAAAAAGGTCCGTCTTAGTGCGCCTTGGAGGATGAGCCCATCTCTCCAAGAGGCTCCTCTTTGGGAGCTTTCCCAGTTGCGCCCTGTGCGCAAAGGATCCCTCCAACGTGCGCCCAGGTAGGACTTGGTTCTCCTCTTGCCTGGGGTTGGTGGTGGGAGGCAGGGAGAGGAATGGCATCGGCGGCAGTGCGGTCTCCGGGAGGCAGGGGGCTCTGTGTTCTCCTCGGCTTCTCCTCTCCCTCCTCCTCGGGAGCAAGAGCAGCAGCAGCAGCAGCTCTTGGGAGGCGGCGTCAGGCCTCCCCCCGCCCTTCTACGGCCCCAGCCGGCGGCCTGGGCTCCTGATCAGGCTCCGGGAAGGGGCCTGGCTCCGGTAAGGACCTTCCTCCTCTTCCTCCTCCTCCTCCTCCTCCCGCCGCCGGGCAATGAGAAGCTGCTTCTGCTTGAAGCGGGGGAGCCGGGACCAGCAGCCGAAGACAACGACCACACCGCCTCCTGCTCCATCTGCGCCCCGGGCAACAGTTAAGTCTCCCCTGGAGCCTTGGAGAGGGAGGACTGGGGGCAGCCCTTGGTCCAGGCACCCCTTTCTTCCCTCTAGTTGGGGCCTCTTCCCTTGCCTCCTTCTTGGGTGGCATTGGGCCTAGCTTCTCCCAAACCTCTCCAAAAGGAAGGCCTTTTTCCTTTCTCCAAAACCCCCCATTCCCATCCATGTCCCCATTTCCTTAGACCTCCAACTACTCCAAAAACACCTTGGCCTAGCTCAGTGTTTCTCAACCTGGGGGTCGCGAGGGGGTGTCAAAGGGGTCGCCAAAGACCATCAGTATTTTCTGTTCACCATGGGTGTTCTGTGTGCCATATTTGGTTCAATTCCATCATTGGTGGAGTTCAGAATGCTCTTTGTACAGGTGAACTATACATCCCAGCAACCAGAGGCGGCCCTAGGTAATTTTCAACAGTAAGCAAACAGTATTTTGCCCCCCCACCAATCACTGATATATATTTTCTGTTCGTCGTGGGAGTTCTGTGTGCCATATTTGGTTCAATTCCATCATTGGTGGAGTTCAGAATGCTCTTTGATTGTAGGTGAACTATACATCCCAGCAACAGGCGGCCCTAGGTAATTTTCAACGGTAAGCAAACAGTATTTTGGCACCCCCCCCCCCCCAAACCAATCACTGATATATATTTTCTGTGTCGTGGGAGTTCTGTGTGCCATATTTGGTTCAATTCCGTCATTGGTAGAGTTCAGAATGCTCTTTGATTGTAAGTGAACTATACATCCCAACAACCAGAGGCAGCCCTAGGTAATTTTCAACGGTAAGCAAACAGTATTTTGGCACCCCGCCCCAACCAATCACTGATATATATTTTCTGTTCGTCGTGGGAGTTCTGTGTGCCATATTTGGTTCAATTCCATCATTGGTGGAGTTCAGAATGCTCTTTGATTGTAGGTGAACTATACATCCCAGTAACAACAACTTGCATATGTCAAGGTCTATTTTCCCCCAAGAGCACTTCAAGAGCGGCACTGGGCAAAATCAACTATACTGCAAAGGCTTACTTTGCATAATGGGTTCAGCCGCCCCTGCCAGCAACTACAACTCCCAAATGTCAAGGTCTATTTCCCCCAAACTCACTTGGCACACAGAACCCTCATGACCAAGAGAAAATACCCTGGTGTTTGGTGACCCCTTTGACACCCCCCTCACGACCCCCCAGGGATTCTGACCCCCAGGTTGGGATTTGGAGACCAGGTCTTGCTCAGTTTCATTGACCCCTGGATTTGGAAACCTAGGTCTTGCTCAGTTGCGTTGCACCATATCTATGATGCAAAGACTCACTCTAGGTCAGTGATTCCCAACTTTGGTCCTCCAGATGTTTTGGACCTCAACGCCCAGAAACCCAAGCTAGTTTGGTCAATCTGGAGATGAGGTCCCAAACATCTGGAAGATGAACATTTAGTGGAGTTCAGAATGCTCTTTGATTGTAGGTGAACTATAAATCCCAGAACTACAACTCCCAAATGACAAAACCAACCCCACCAGTATTCAAAATTGGGTGTATTGGGTACTTGTACCAAATTTGGCCCAATGAATGAAAATACATCCTGCAGACCAGATATTTACATTACAATTCATAACAGTAGCAAAATGACAGTTATGAAGTAGCAACGAAAATAATGCTATGGTTGGGGGTCACCACAACACGAGGAACTGTATTAAGGGGTCACGGCATTAGGAAGACTGAGAAACAGTGATAGCTTCTCCCAAGACCTCGCCAAAAAGCTGCTTCCAATTTTCCTCCCAAAACACCATGGCATTCTTCTGTCTTTCCAAATGGAACCATTAGCATGCCTTTTTCGTGTCCACACTGCCATATATTCCAGAAGGGCCTTCTTCTCCCTCTCCAAAAACATCTTGGGCCTCTTCCTGCTTTGAACAGGAATATATAGCAGTGTTGACTCCGATATTCAAAGCAGATATTGTGGGATTTTCTGCCTTGATATGCTGGGTTGTATGGTTGTGTTATATGGAGGTTCCCGCCTCTCCAAAACCCCCTTTGGTATGGCTTCTACCTTTCCAAAACAACTCACAACTCTATGCCCTGTTCCACACAGCTGTGTAAACTCCACATTGAACTGGATTCTATGACAGTGTGGACTCAGGGCTCTTCCACACAGCCGTATAATACCAAGGCAGGAAATCCCACAATATCTGCTTTGAACTGGTATATCTGAGTCCACGCTGCCTTATAACCCAGGGCCCTTCCACACAGCCCTATATCCCAGAATGTCAAGGCAGGAAATCCAACATTATCTGAGTGTGGAGTCAGATAACGCAGTTCAAAGCAGATATTGCCTTGATTAGCACTGAATGGCCTTGCAGCTTCTAAGCCTGGCTGCTTCCTGCCTAGGGGAATCATGGAATCCTAGAGTTGGAAGAGACCTCATAGGCAATCCAGTCCAACCCCCTGCCAAGAAGCAGGAATATTGCATTCAAAGCACCCCTGACAGATGGCCATCCAGCCTTTGTTTAAAAGCTTCCAAAGAAGGAGCCTCCACCACACTCTGGGGCAGAGAGTTCCACTGCTGAACGGCTATCACAGTCAGGAAGCTCTTCCTCATGTTCAGATGGAATCTCCTTTGTTGTTGTTGGAAGCCATTGTTCCGTGTCCTAGTTTCCAAGGAAGCAGAAAACAAGCTTGCTCCCTCCTCCCTATGACTTCCTCTCACATATGTATACATGGCTATCATGTCTCCTCTCAGCCTTCTCTTCTTCAGGCTAAACATGCCCAGCTCTTTAAGCCGCTCCTCATAGGGCTTGTTCTCCAGACCCTTGATCATTTTAGTCGCCCTCCTCTGGACACATTCCAGCTTGGCAACATCTCCCTTCAATTGTGGTGCCCAGAATTGGACACAACATTCCAGGTGTGGTCTAACCAAGGCAGAATAGAGCATGGGAAGCATGACTCCCCTGGATCTAGACACTAGACTCCTATTGATGCAGGCCAAAATCCCATTGGCTTTTTTGCCGCTGCATCACATTGTTGGCTCATGTTTAACTTGTTGTCCGCGAGGACTCCAAGATCTTTTTCACACGTACTGCTCTCGAGCCAGGCAGCGTCCCCCATTCTGTGGGAATCCTTTATTGGGAGGTGTTAGCTGGCCCTGATAGTTTCATTTCTGGAACATGGCTGTACAGCCTGGAGAGCTCACAGCAGCCCAGTGATTCTGGCCATGCAAGCCTTCGGCAACACATTGAACATCTGCACAAACTGCTTGGTTTTGGTTTCCCCACAAAAACAACCCCAAAAACCTCTTGGCTTGGCTTTTACCTTCCCAAAACCACGTTGGCTTGGCTTCTTCCACCTCTCCAACCTCCCCTTGGCCTTGCTTCTCCCTTCTTCTCCAACAAAAGCCCCATGTTCTCAATATATAAATCTATATATATAAATCTGTAAGGGGCATCCAACGGGACAGCAAAACTCAAAACCCCCCCAACGAAAATTAACCAAAATTCCCATGCACATACCTCAACCCACAAGGTACAAACAAATCGAATCAAAATAAAAAACAACACAACAACACACTCACAAAACGACAAAACAACTGAGCATGCGCAATGGCGCAAAGTCCCCGGCGCACGCACATGGCCAAACGGCCAACGCACCCTCCGCACCTCCCTCTGCCAAAGCCCCGCCCACACCCACCGAGGCCCCGCCCATACACTCCTCCTCCTCCCACCCCCTCCACCGAAGCCCCGCCCACACCCACCGAGGCCCCGCCCTGCACTCCTCCTCCTCCCCCCACCCCCTCCACCGAAGCCCCACCACACCCACCGACGCCCCGCCCCTGCACTCCTCCTCCTCCCACCCCCCTCTGCCGAAGCCCCGCCCACACCCACGATCACGCCACAACACGCCGCCTCCAAGGAAGCCCCGCCCACTCCAAGCCCCGCCACGCCGCTTCCCGCCCTGTCAAAACCATCCCTCCTCCCCCTCCTTCATCTTACCCCGCCCACACTGACTGCACTCCTCCTCCTCCTCCTCCCACCCCCCTCCGTTGTAGCTGCTGGGATTTATAGTTTACCTATAATCAAAGCATTCTGAACTCCACCAACGACGGAATTAAACCAAACGTGGCACACAGGACTCCCATGAGAAGGGTTTGGTAAGCATTGGGAAGGAAGAAAGGAAGGAGGGAAGGCAGGAAAGAAAGAGGTACCGAAGGAAGGAAGAAGAGAAAGTAGAAAGGAAAGAAAAATAAAAGGAAGGAAAGGCAGGAAAGAGGTAAAGAAGGAAGGAGAAAAGGAAATAAAAAATGAAAGAAGGAAGGAAACATGGAGGGAAGAAAGGAGGCAAAGGAAGAAAGGGGGAGGGAATGAAGGAAAGAGAGAAGGATGAAACCAAGGAGCGAAAGAAGGAAAGAAAGAAAGAGGTAGAGAAGGAAGAAAGGAGAGAAAGGGGGAGAAAAAGGGGGAAGGAATAGGTAGGTACCTCTCTTTCATAATAGTCCAGATATCTACCTCTACTTTGAAAAGATTTACTATAGGCCACAGCAGCGCGTGGCAGGGTACAGCTAGTCTATCTATCTATCTATCTATCTATCTATCTATCTATCTATCTATCTATCTATCTATCTATCTTTGGCCTAGCTTCTTCTGCGTCTCCAAACCAGACTTGGCCTGACTCTACCTCTCCAAAAAGCTCCATATTCCTTTGCTCCAACCGTCTCCAAAACCCTTCTTCATGCCTCTCCAAAAAGACCCTCTCTCCCTTTTTCCTCCGTGGATTCCTTTCCCCTCAATGAACCTGCTTAACATCTTTCCAACTGGTCAAATTGGGACCCAGTTTATTATTTTCCATTTTGTTTCAATGAACAGGGGGAACCTCCTCCTCTTCCTTTCATTGTGTGGGCCGCTTCCCTTGTTTGGAGAACGGGCCTTGGTGGGGAGTCTTCTCTTTTTGGCAGGGATTCCTAACAATGGAATGGCTTTGTCTCCTGTCTAAACAATATTGGGGA